TGGGGGGAATTCAAGGCACGGTCATTCGGAACTTGAAACGTTTTGGCAGTTTGCAACAAGTATGAAAGGCCTTGAGCGTAAAAATCAACATAGAGTTGTATACTGGATAAATGCTGATGTAGCCAAATCACTTTTAGAAATATCTAGTCCAAGCTCACTCGAATAGCGAGGATATAGTAAATTATGCACCTACAGCCACTATTTCATCCCCAGAGGCAGCAGATAGAAAAATCCTTTTTGAAAGGCGACTAGGCTGACTCTGGTTATCCTTGCAAAAGTAGTTCTGGTGCTTAATAAGTTTGGAATCACACAGGGAAACTTCTACATAAAAATCTTTGATTTAACGGAAGTTTTCGGGAAAAAGGGCCCGTTTTTAAGCCAACTTTGGCGAGCTGTAAAAAGCCTAATTGTCATAATGAGGCAAAATCAATTTCAGTGCATAAAAACCAACCGGAGCTCTATCAGAAAAAGTAAATTTCAGTCCATAGCATAAAACGGTAAAGATAGCGCAATCATTTTTTGACCAATTTGGGGTCCGTGTTTCAGGCGCCTTAGTTGTAAGCACTTATAATGGCAAAACAAGTGTCGTAGACGATTATTTTGTCTGAAACTTTAAAGATAGCTTCTTGGACGTATTACACGTATCCACAATCGCCCACTTTGTTCTCGTACTGTTACAGCCTGCAGGGCAAGCAAAAACATTAGTCCAGATTTTATTGGCGCACCCTGTATATATGAAAATTTCCGTCTTAATTCTACTGCAAGGTACATGAATTTCTCATAACCAGCACTGAAAAACGTGAGACTTTTCAAGACATATGCAAAATACATCTCATGTCAATACAGCTTTGTGAGCAACCATTCAACACCGACATCCCAATGGCCTTCCGTTAGCCGCTTTGCAAATGTCGTTCTGGAAAAACGAGGATTATTTTCTCATTTTCTCAAAGACATTGTCGCCAAATATACGACAGACATCTCCAGGATGCAAATATCCGATTGCCAACAAAAACATTTCCTTCTAATCCGCCCGTAAACAAGTTGATAGTCTCCGAATATGAGTTTTCTGTTTAATGTTTGAAACTTTTGGACGCCCTGAGGCTATTTTTTCGCAACACGTTTTCAAAGAACCGCGGGAGGGTGGGATAATTAAAAAAATCCAAGAATTTCGTCTTATTCGAAGATCATGGCGCGGATTTGCAATGCAAATCGTATAATATTTATGTAGAACAAGTCTGAAAGCAATTACTATGAAAAGGAATAACAATATCGAAAATATATTTGAAGTAAAAAAATATTACGGATACACGGAGTGGCACGATATTATTTCATCGAAAAATTTGAAGGAAAAGATGACGGATACGCTGAGTTTGATGACAAAAAATCAATGTGGTATGTGCCTTGTCAAGCATCTCTAAACTTCACGGACAAGATTTTTTGAACATGGTACGCAATTATATACTTTGGCTCCGGCTTGAAGCCAAATTGGGACCTCTTTAGGACGAAAACAAACCAGTTACGAGCCAATTACATTGATGAGCCTTTGTACAAAAATTGAAACACAGCCCTTTCGCGTCATCCTTTCCTCACATACAGTGGCGGACCTGATCCATTGGCAAAAACCGTACCATTTTGCATTTGGGAAGTATTAAGATGCAACAAAATACCTCCCTACCCATGTAAAAAAAAACTCCGATTTAAAAAGCGTACCCCTCTTTTTGTGAGGAAAAGGGCGCGCCCGTCGAAACGGAGTTTTTTTAGTTGTAGAGGAGGTACTTTGCCACATTTTTGATACTTCCCGGATGCAAAATGATACGTTTTTTGCCAATGGATCAGGTCCTTCACTGTAAAAGCGAAAATTAGAATGTGTGTACCCTCAAGAACGTAGCGATATTTTCTTTTATGGAATGTTTGAGCAGTTCTTCATCAGATTTTTTGAACTTGGATCAAATTTGCTAAAACGCGAAAGATTCTCCAAAATTCGGATATTTTTTATATGGGGTACTAGTCCGTTCGTAAAGTCGCTGGAATGATTTCGGCGACATGCACTGTGCACGAAAACTCAGGGTGCGGGCGACAGCCCAAACAAACCTATTGCACTGTGCAAAAAGCCAAAAATTGCACAGTGCAAAGTGAACTTTCGTTTTCGCGGAGTGCATGTCGCCGAAAACATTCCAGCGACTTTACGAACGGACTAGTATAAACACGCGTATCCATGAACAAATTGAATTTCTGGCGGTCATATTTTTGTATCATGGAGACATGGTCATGACTTTTGACCCACCCAGCAATTGAATGACAAAAAACTTCCCGGCGCAACGCTAATCATGCCAAAAATGTCGGTCGCCAAATACGAATAAGTAGATAAAATATTGTCCAAGAATCAAGAAAAAAAAATCCACAACATGCTCCACCAACCCCCTCAGCCTGATTGGTTCAAATAAAAAAGTTTGGAACCACAGACTACCTCGATTATGCCCCTCCATATCCATATCCTTTTCGAATTTCCGGCGTTCGAGTCTCCCCCAGAATTACCGGTGGAAAAAAATCCTGCCCTCAGGGAGACTCATTCAGTTTGAACGTAATTTCCGAGAGAGCTAGACGTATGGATTGCAGTGGGTTAATCGTTTCCTGCGTTCACTTTATATGTCTCCACTCACATCATTAAACTTTAATTGCATTAAAAAAAGCGTTATGTCGGCCAAATGTCTGCTATGTTTCGTGGAGTTCAGCAATAAATTTGCCAAATCCCGCAATAAATTTGAGTGAGATTGAGAAATTGCAAAACGAAAAAAATACAATTCTTTTTTTTTTTTTGCAAAAAGGCCGTTTATATTCTAAATATTCCGCCTTACAGTAATCCCCTCATCTATTTGAAGGGATTACATTAATAGCAATGATGTGGGCAATGTCACAGTGCTATCTTGTCGAGGATTTGCTGGGAATTTCGGGGATGAATAATCATCTTGGACCCAAATTTGGCGCTCGATTATTGGAATGAATATGCATGATGACAATTGAACTTTGATGCCTCAAGAACGCATATTAAAGTCGGTAGGCTGCCAACTTGTTAAAAATAAAAAAACGTGTCCTAAGAATATTTAACACGGTATTTTAACCAAACGAAATATCCGTAAATAAATAAAAAAAATGCAAATTACTTTCGGAGAAATGAAATTCCCATTGGACTTTGGGAATTCGGGAAATTGCACGAAAACCGCAAAAGCTCAACGTTCAAATAATTTCAATTTTGTTTGCTAGAGACAATATAGGAAACAGAAAAAAAAGTATACAAAGCTTTTCACAGACGTATACATGACTTTTTGAACTAAAAAATGCAATAAGACGTTCTGGGACGTTCCAAAAAATTTCACTTTGTTTGCTTGCCAATTTTTCCGGAATCCCTTAATTGCCCCTTTAATTTCGTTAAAGACGGACCTCCCAAAACGTTCTGAAAACTTTTACCGCAAAGACATTGATGAATGTTCCCCAAGGATTCGCGAAAAGTTCACTGTCCGCAACGATAAAGTTTCTGCAGTTCGTGGCTAATTTTAAGGGTTTTTTTCGATCTGACGTCGAACTGCGTCATTTCCATTTGGCTATAGCGATATAATATACGGTACTTTTAAATGTGAATTTTTCGGGATGATACAGCTATCGTTGCTGGCGACCTGTTCTACTTTTCTATTTATCGGCTGTTTTGATAAGAGGAATATTTTAGTCATCCGAAAAAAAATTATTTCGCGATTTTTTCGGCCAAAAGTCTGCAAAGATTTTCCAGAAATGTTCAATGTGACGGTCAAAATGACCATCTCAATTCGACATGACCAAAATCACGCCAATTTCACGATGTGGCTGCCGCATCAGATTGCCAGCTTAAAAACCATACACTGCTCGACAAAATCATAAATGCACTTTTAAAATCGCTGTAACTTTTGTGCTTGTCAATAAAGCTGTGCCATATTTGGCTCCAATATGTAATAGTGTACTATAAATCATGTGCCAAAAAATTATGTTGGAAAGTTTCCACAATTTGGAGAAAAGTTGAAAAAACTGAAATTTTGGTGATTTTCTTTGCGACAAAATTATAAATTCGCGCAATGTTTTGCAATTTTGTAGTAGTTCACTAGGAAAAAATACTTCTCGTTTTTACACTAGCGACATGCACTTTTCTTCGAGCGCACCCTGCACGGCAACGGAAGGAGTCTCCGGCCCCATTTCAGCACGTTGCCCACTCAGTATCGGTTGTATTCGAACGAAATGTCAAAAATTAATTTTTCGTGGGGTTTTCCGACCATAAAATATTTTCTTCCGGGATTACTTTACTTTTTTGTCAATTACGACTCTTCGTTTGGACGAAACTCAAAAGTGGGCGGGAGACATTCCTGTTCTATTTTTGGTTGTCGTGCCCGTTAACGACGCATCGCCGCGGCGCTAAAAAATTCTACGGACTTTATGGCGCTACTAGTATATAAAGCTTGTAATCGAAATGCTTCCTGCAAAGCGTAAAGTTAAATTCGTATGTACAAATTTGTTGGGCCTACAGGGGACGTTCTTAAGAACCATTTATTCTGGACGAAGTTGCGAAAACTGCTTTTAAAAACGTTTTTTCTCTGTACCTCACTCCTCATTTTATGCAATCTTTCATGAGTAAAGGCTATTGAATATCTCGACTGCTCCTGCTAACAGTGAGTGCAAGCCAAAGTTTTTAGGAATTGAAATGTGATGACTTGTATGGAAGACTTAATGCCAGTTCTACTTCTGAATCGCGCTTTTACGGCTTGGGAAAACCGTAAAAATATGATAAAAACGTCCAAAAAATTCTTTGCTTTTTTGCCTCAACGACGAGCGCTTATTCAACGCTTTTTGCACTTTGTGACCAATGTAAATTCATGTATGACGCAATGTGTTCAAACATAGCCTTCATAAAAGTCTGTCGGGTCGAATAAAATGGAACTTTGCTCTTCGCTTTTTACATTTTTGATCGGGACATTTGTCGAATGCTCAACATTCTCATCGGCCTTTCAGCGGTCTCTCTGGCTCTGGCCACGGGCTTCAATGAGACTTTGGCCAAGGAGAAGTTCTTAGTTTTGGCCGAGTCAGCCTATACCGATTGGCCGGAAAAGTGTTTGAAAAAGAATTTTGGAGAGGCTAATGTAAGGGAATATAAAAATTCATAGAGTTGTTTAGGTGACAAAGACTGTAACAACCAAATGCGGCACCAAACTTGGCGAATGGAGGGTTTGCTACGGCTATACGGGAGTTTCACACAAGGAGAAAGCCGTTTTTCTGGCGTATCGGTAAGGACAAAAGAAAAGCATCAAAGACTTTGCTTTTTAGCGGAACGATCAGTGGAATTCAACTCTTCTACGAGGTCGCGCGAACCGCCTTTGTCAAAGAAGTTGACGCCAAAATTGGAGGCAAAGTCGCGGCGTATTTCTACACCGTCTACAACAATCTCCGCAAAGGCGGATTGAACGCCGAATTCGTCCGCCTGACCAAGGCGTTCCCCGGCTATGACGTCTGGATCAGTGGGCATTCCTTGGGCGGCGCCTTGGCTTCAATCGCCACCGCCGAAGCCATCAAAGTTGATGGTATTAAAGGCGACAAAGTAAAGCTGATCACTTTTGGAGAGCCCAGAACTGGCGATGCTGCGTATTCAAAGCGTTACGATGACATTGTGAAATACGGCTATCGAGTGATCAACAGTGGAGATATTGTGGCGCAAGTCCCACCAAAAGATTTCAAAGGGTACGCCCATCACAAGACCGAAGTCTGGTATCCACATGGAATGTCCAAGGGGAGCAAATACCAGGTCTACACCGAGAATGAGTCCGCTAAAGGATTCAATTCAAGAGCACCGTTGAATAGCGTCTCTGACCATATGAAGTATTACGGGAAGTTGCTTGTTCAGTATAGACTGACTGGTTGCTAATGAAGTTGAAAATTTGAGGCAAGAAGTAAAGTTTCTTCAGGTGAAATAGAGTTTAATTTGAGCATAAATATATAAGGCAGATATGAAGGTAAAATTGATAAGTACAATATATTTGGCGTCATCAGCAGGCGGCGTTCCTGAAAAAATTGAATAGGTCAGATTTAGTCTATGAAGTAAAATTTCTAAGGAAATTTCTAAGGACCTCGGAAACAGAGGTGTTCAGGCAGCTTCAAGAAATTAGGAATATGTTTACAGGGGAAGCGATTCAGTTCGGATTTTTTTGAAAGTTGGCCCAAATTAGACAACATTTTGATAGCTAGAACATACTCAAGGTTCGTAGCTCGCGGCATGCATAAACGTCTGAAATTTTTAGGTGAAAAGGTGGCGACAATGTAACACCTTTTGCGAGTTTTGCCATGAAAGATTTTTTTACATACAGTGGCGGACCTGATCCAGTGGCAAAAAACGTACATTTTGGGTCCGGAAAGATCAAAAAATGTAGCAAAATGACTCCGTTTCCAAGTGAAAAAACTCCGATTTCAAAAGCGCGCCGCTTTTTTTGTGGGGGACCCTTCAAAACGCAGTTTTCCAGTTGGAAAGGGAGGCATTTTGCCACATTTTTTGATACTTTCCCGACGCAAAATGGTACGTTTTTTGCCAATGTATCAGGCCGTCACTGTAATACTTATTAGCGCTACAACAAAAACTCGTTTTTTTCCACGCGAAACCGGCAAAAATTTGACCAAATCTACTTTTCTCCCTGACTGCTCTCCGCTTTCTGTGTACTCTCTAGAGATCACTCTTAATTTCTAAAGGTCGCCGTATTTTTGTCTAGAAACTTACGCCACACCGGCATCCTGAATACATTGGCAGACCCGTCGCCTCGAGTTTTGGGAGTCAGCTTCACACTGTTTGAAGATCTCTTTGATCACTTGGACTGGCGGTCGACGGACGCCGCAGCTGAAAAATGTGGGTGAAATGGCCATGAATTGTCCTGTTTAGTTTGAGGTTGTAGAATAACCAAAAATTTACAATCTTTGACTTTTTAAAGCTTCTTACCATAGCCCTACAAAGCTATAATATTTTACCAAAGATAATGCACTGTAAAAACTACGAAACTAATTGGTTGGCAATTCCAGCAAAAAATTTACAATACGGTAGGCTATTTGACGAACAGCGTTCCAGTAGCATCCGTTCCCCGAACGCAAACTGGAATTTTGTTTTCCTCGAGAGCAACTCAATTAGTTTTTGATCATTTTTATCACTCTCTAGCTTCGTAAAAAACTTTATGACCAATAAAAAAGCTCTGTTAAAATCTCAATTTCATATTTCATCTTTTTGCTGTAAAGTGAGACAGTAAAAATATGCGAAGAATGAGAAAAATTCTTACATTTCTTTAAACAAAAGTATACAAAAAATGCAAAAATTCTTACATTTTCTCCAAACTTACCCCAAATTTTTCACACAGGCGAAAACATCCGTCTTGATGACGCAATTTTGCATGCATTCTTTAAATGCGGGAGCTAAAAGCGCTTAGAAAACCTTGCCGTATTTTACCCACCGTTCTCGCCTAGAGTATTTTTTAAGACACTCATAAAGCCGGTTCCCTTCGATTCGTTTGCGAGTTTTGAGGCATTCAACGAAGGCTGGAACACATGAAGAACAAGTCGTTTTGAGGCCGCCGCGTTGTGGAAGGTCTCGTTCACTTTGATTGCATTGTAAGGCTTATCGGTGCACCTGAAATTTGATTTGAATTTGTGGTTTAATTGTTAAGAAGTCTTCAGGGATAGTGCTCAAAATGCGACGTTTATATGTGTACTAGACTTGGTTAAAAATCAAAAAGATTTTTTCCTTACAATAAGACGAGATTCTCTGCTTGCCCTTTGCAGAAGCGACAGGGATTTTCAGTCCGAGAGTTGGCAAAATTTCGGGAGTTTTGTTTATAAATGAAAATTTTTTAGCCTTTTTTATTGCTGATTGTGAGTGCAACGTTCTTATAAAAAAATCTATCTAAAAATTTACAAAATATGTTCCCCGTGATACTTCATTTTCACCCCTTGTCGGCAAAGACCGTTGAATCTCGGCTGCCCCTACAAAATGTGAGCTTAAATTTTCAAAAATAGATATGCAACTTCTTGTGAGGCTCCCATATTTATGCAAGGTTAGAAAAGCGTTGCACTTCAAACCCTTTCCCATGTAAAATATGTATCTCGGAAGATTGCAGATTCTCTTACATTTCATGCTTGAGTTTCATAATGCACTCCAAGTGGTGTTCCTTTTCCGTTCGAATGCAGTTGAGGACTGTTTCGGTGTCAAAGTCGATTGCCACTTCGTCCTGGAATACTCCTGATTAACGTCAGAAAGCAAAAAAATTTTTTTAATATCTAGTACAATATTGGGGTAGTGCGGGTAGCAGGTAATTTTTTTTCAGCCACATCATATACGGTTTAGAAGCGCAATCTCTGAGCTTCAAAACCGTATGTTCAACATATCTCAAAATGCGTTTCAAAGCTCACAGGATTCCGCACAAATCGACGACCCAAAAATACACAAGACTTATGGGACACCCTAATAAAATACGTTGTGGTCTGTCTTCCTATTTAAATATTATATTTTGGAAACAACGCTGACTTTGAAGCCATGCTGTTTACTATTCCCTACCTTGCACTTCTCCACACACGGCATGATATTCTGCTTCACACTCTCCTTGCAATTGGCCATCTCCGTGCAATTGCATTGCCGAATCCACCCATCCTCGGCGCTCACCCACGGGAACAGCAATACAAAAGCCAACCAGAACATGGATTTGTCTGTCATGAATCCATTGTCATCTCCAACAAAACTCTTTCTCTTGCGCGCTGGGATTCGAGGGGGGAAGGGAAAGACGAATTGGGTTCGAATCGACTTCCCGAGAGGAGTTCAAGGAGCAATGACGTGATCGTGATGTTATCGACTCTCCCCTCTGCAACAGCTCCCAGCACAATCTCAGTTGGAGGCGCACAGCGAAAAAGGTGAAAAAATGGCTTCAATGTTACGGTAAATGGAGTGTTGAAAAGTAATTGACAAAGGAACGCGAGTAACATGGGAAGTTTTCCGGCATCGATGTTCAGATTTTGATTAAACTTGGCGCAAATTCAATCTATTGTCGATTTTTTTAGGATATGCTATAGCTTTGCAGAATCGATTAAGATTTTCAGCTCCAAAGATGGAAAAAATAAGCTACTCTTTTGCGAACTTTACCCACAAAAAATGATTTTTACAATCGAAAATGACAAAGATATGGCAAGAAATGTCTTTTATCAACGTCCGCATTTTCTCGGCTCAAAGGATCGTTGAGATTTTGGCTGTGCCTGTAAAGTGTGAGCTAAAACCTTCCGGAATTCATATGTCATCTATGCCAGAAGTGTGCCTAAAATTTAAAGAAAATCTGAAGGTCCACTTGGGATACATCCCTCTTAACAACGTCTGGAACAAAATACGTATAGACCAAAAGTCTTATCAGAAGATCTTTGCTCTTTCTATATACAAAACAGTGGACTAAATCAGCAAAAAAATTAAAACGTAACGTAGGGCGATCATGAAACCAGAAATGTCAAGAAAATCATAGCATTAAAAAAGCTTTTTATTTATTTACATTGAAGTGTTAGAGAAGTCTCGAGAACGTGACAAAAATAATTCAACACAAAAAGTGAACTTCGAGGAAGAAGGAAAAAAGATTTTTTGGTGTAAACTGGGTTGGGAAATGCCTTGGAGCGTTTATTAAAACGCAACGATCTCTACAAGTCCATAGATTGCGCTTATTTTAAACTAAGCCTGGTGAAAGATTGATTAGTTATTGATTAAAATGAAATAGAAAACTGGTTACCCGTAAAAAAACTTGACAAGAAACACTATAGAAATGGTATCCGAAACCTTTATAAAGTCTTGCAGCAATTCTCAGGGCAATAACGGCTCGGACTGCAACAATGACCGAGAGAAACAGCCTTGAAAGAACACTCGCAAACGGATCGAAAAACGGCAAAAGTGATTGAAAAGGAGCTTGCAAGATGGGAAAGTCAAAGGGATGATTTAACAAGGTCGGCATCTGAAGTTCGGCGTGGTGGCGGTCGTATTTTTACATACAATATTTGAGAAAAATTCAGCATAAAAAAAGAAGTGTTTTAGACGCCCATATTTTTTTCAAATTTTGACCACACGTCGGGCCTAGGCCAGACATCGATTACTAATAGCCTTAGCTCATTCTTTGCAGGGAGAGACGAGGTATTCAACGATCTTTGTCACCAAGAGAGTTCACAAAACGCGGAGAGCAGTCAAACACACAAGCGACTTGAGACTGCATCTCGGCCAGTTTCGCTGGGAAAAAATTGAGTTTTTTTGTAAAAACATAAGTCTCTACTGCAGAAATGGGCCTGAGGCTTCGAATCTAAAAAAATCAAAAGAGAATTATCTAATTTTAGCCAACTTTTAATGTAAAAATCTGACAATGTGAGTTTTTCTCGCGAAATGTAAACAAGGAGTTGCAAACGCTTTAAGAAAGATAAATCTATAGCTATCCCAAGTTTCAATAAAGTATGACCGTCCAACTTTTAGAGCTTTTTTCGTGGAATATTCGCGATTTCACTCCACATTTTGTAATACGCACCGCCAGTGAAAGGTCGGTTGAAAGATCACCGATTGTCAACCATCTCGCTGTTTTTTACAAAAAAAAACGAAAGGTTTGCCGCTGACGTCAAACAAGAGTCAATCAGATTAGACGGCCGACTGTGTACGGTAGCGGACGTCAATCGAAGCAAGTTGAAATGTTGTTACAAACTTTTTGGGTAATTTGTTTTCGGGTGCATGTTATGTCAAATGGAGAAGCGATCTTGTTCTTTTGCTTTACGATTTATTCTACTCAAAATTACAGTAGTCTCACACTGAAAATATTGTATATAAGAATACAAGGTTATGCACAACCAGCTGCTCCATAAGTCACAATCAACTGGTTATAGTAAATGATGTGATTCAAGACGCTCAAATCGGTATTTGAGTCCTCACAAGTCGGGTCTTCGTCTTCGCTGCACACCTTATAAGTGGCTCCATCGCTCATTCCATTCGCATACCAGACCTCCGTCTTGTGATGAGTATAATTCATAAACCAGCTGGGTGGAACCTGCGGCACAATGTCGTGTTGATTAATGACCCTGTAAGCGTATGACAGAACACTGTCGAAAGCCGCCGAATAGTCGGTATCCCCAGTCCGCGGCTCTCCAAAAGTGATGATCTTGACGCGAGAGGCCGCGATTCCGTCGACTTTGATCGCTTCGGCGGCTGCGATTGAAGCCAACGCTCCTCCCAACGAATGGCCGGTTACATAGATCTGATAGTCAGGGAATTCATTCGCCAGCCGAGTCAATTCTCCGTTCAATCCGGCGTCTCGAAGGTAGTTGTAGACGTTGTAAAAATACGCCGAAACTTTCCCTCCAATTTTGGCGTCATCGCGCGTGGCGAAGATTGTCCGAAAAGCTTCGTAGAACAGTTGAATGCCGCTGACGGTACCTCTGAAAAATTGAACCGATAAACTTGCAAGTATATGTGAGAAAACGTCAGTTATAATAGCGATGACTTACCGGTAAGCCAGGAAAATAGCCTTGCTATTATGCGAAACTCCCGTATATCCATAGCAGACCTTCCATTCGCCAAGATCTGTGCCACATTCAGCCGTTACGGTTTTTGTGACCTGAAAGCGGCGAGAAATGAAATTTGGAAACAGTTTACTGATTCTCACAATAGAAGTGTCGCTGGGACGCTCGTGGATTTGCAAATTTTGTGGTAAAAGAGTGACATATTAATGCTTGAAAATTTTAGCTCGCACTTTTTACGAGCAGCAGGCACTTTTATTTACCGATACGAGGCTAGGCGAATTATGGAGAGCAGTCAGAGCAAAACGAAATTTCTGCTTATCTTTGACGTATTCGATTTTGGCGTCGCGACACTTGCGGGCAACCACTTTGCGGGCAACCAGTTTGCGGGCAGATTTTTTGCGGGCAGCCACTTTGCGGGCAAAATTTGGGGGGTCACATTTGCGGGCAGCTGAAACATTTGCGGGCAGCTGAGACACTTGCGGGCAGCCTGGGACACTTGCGGGCAACCGACACTTGCGGGCAGCCGACATTTGCGGGCAACCGGCACCTGAGGGTTACAGGGTAGAGGAGGAAATATTACTGCGATATTTTGGAAATTTGCCGACATTTGCGGGCAGCCGACACTTGCGGGCAGCCGACATTTGCGGGCAACAGAAAAAAACAGTCACACAGACTGTATAGGAACTTTTGGAACTGTTGCCCGCAAATGTCGGTGTCCCGCAAGTATTGCCTGCCCGCAAATGTCGGAAAACTTCCAAAATATCGCAGTAATTTATCCACCTCTACCTTGTTATCATCAAGTGCCGGTTGCCCGCAAATGTCGGCTGCCCGCAAATGTCGGCAAATTTCCAAAATATAATATCATAGTAATTTTTCCACGTCCACCCTGTTACCCTCAAAATCAGGTGACGGTTGCCCGCAAATGTCGGCTGCCCGCAAATCTTCCAGGCTGCCCGCAACTGTCGACCCTGCCCGCAAATGTCCCAGGCTGCCCGCAAATGCCGGTGCTGGCCGCAAATGTCGGCTGCCCGCAAAGTGGCTGCCCGCAAAAAATTTGCCCGCAAACTGGTTGCCCGCAAAGTGGTTGCCCGCAAGTGTGCGCCCGCCTCGATTTTACAGGGGAAGTACTCCAAGTGCGACGCTCAGATTTTGATGAAACTTGGCACAATTTAAAATAATTTTTTCTAAGATACATGCGAGAATCCAAGCTCGCGCTTTGCAGAAACAACCGAGATTTTTAGATCGAAAGTCGGCGAAAATTCAGGACTTTTTGCCGAATTTCGGCACAAAAAGGTTCATGCCTGTTTCAACTGTAAAGGATAATGTTTCCGCAAAAAATCAAAATTTTCCGCACGAAATTGCCAAAGTTATGGCCAAAAAGCGCTTTTCTCTCTGACCGCTCTCCACGTTTAGCGTGCTCTCTCGGCGACAGAAATCGTTCGATATCTCGGCGGCGCCCGCAAAGCGCGAGCTAAAACTTTCAGGAATTGATATTTAGTCCATACCCAACATGTGTGCAAAGTTTAAAAGACGATTTCTGAGTCAGTGAATCAGCCGCCAGTTAGGCGTGGACATAGGAAAAAATCGAATTTGAGTTTTTTGCATCAAAATGACTGTTGGTAGGTGCTAAACAAAAGCGAACAATATTTTTTCCTAAAACTTTCAACAAGGTACCATTTTTTACTATTTACTGTTTTTGAAGTAATTGGCTACAACTGTCGTATCTTACCTTGAAATGCAATAATTTTGCGGCCTACAACGTTTTCGACCCTTGCGAAGACGCTGGAAGAATTATTTTTGATCTCTTCCTACTGTAACATACCGTAATACCGTATCGGCCGCTAAAAAACGGCCGTAAAATCTTTGTTTCTGAAAACCCACAGCTGATTTTTTGATATAAGAGCGAAGGAATAAGAATTTTTTCTCGAGCTCGAGAATGGTTGCTGGATTCGCTACCAATTTCAAAAAGTAGCGAAATGATCGATTTGCGACATGGTCTCGGTAACGAATCCTTCTTTTCGCGACCTCCGAAAAAAGTCGGTCGCGAATCGGCGTTTTCGCTACCTCCGCGAGAGAGGAGGTAGCAAAACGGCGTTTTTGCGACGGCGCGGAATTGGGAGGTAGCAAATCCGCGGATTTGCGACGTCCCAAATACATATAAACTCCGCCCCCTGAGTTTTGCAGCCAACCACCGCGTTTTGGCCTTTTTTGACAAAAAAATACCATTTATGGTGAAAAATTTTGCTTGTAAATCGTACATTTACGAAATTATGAAAGAAAAAGTCTTCTTCGTTAAAATATTTATTAATAAAAGACGTACATTTTCGTATAAAATATGCGTTTTTTACAACATTGTTCAAGCATTGCCGGAGAGTCGATGGATGGAACTGAAGAACATGTTTTGCCAGATATGGCCGAAGTCGAGGGATGGATCATGGCCGCCAAATTACCTTCCTGGAAATCAAAAGCAATGTAAAATTTCCTTATCATTTTCAGAAAAAAACACCTTCATTTACCTCATATTGCATGTGTCTAATCCGAGCATCGAAATGGGCATAGCTTTGAGCAAAAATATGGCCGACGGGAGTGAAATCGGAATTCCAGGTAATAATTTGTTACCTAAAAACAGAATAAGAATACTTAAATCCAATCTTACCTCCTTTAGCAACTACCACTTGGCCATTCCCTTGTTCGATTTCATTATTTCTGCCGCCTGTGTACGATTTATAAGGCTCCTGCCTAGAAAAAAATTGGAAATCTCGTCTAAAATCAAAAAATAATAAAAAAACAACTTACCATGGAGTCAAAAAGCCTTTTTTGCCCGCCAATTTCGTCCCCGATGTTTATGGCGATCACCTTGAGCCGGTTTGTCTTCTAATTCAGCTTCTCTGCATCTATTTGGCCAATTTCAACAAAAGGAAACAAGAAAACAGGAAAAAAAGAATTTATGAAGTTGCGAATGTTTTGGCGGCCCGTGAAAACGAAATGCCACGCAGTCCGAGAACGGATTTTAGGTCCAATAACAAGGATGTCCTCGGCGTTATCAATCAAATCAACCGTTTTTTAGCCATGGTAAGCTGTTTTGTTATTATTTTTTGACTTTAGACGAGATTTCCAATTTTTTTTTATATTATTCATGGCAAGAGTCTTACAAACCGTTTTCAGGAGGCAGAAACAACGAAATCGGACAAGGAAAAAGCCGTGTGGTAGTTGTTAAAGGAGGTAAGACTTGATTTAAGTATTATTGTTCTGTTTTTAGGTAATAAATTGTTGCCTGGAACTCGGTTTCACTCCAGTCGGCCGTATTTTTGCTCAACATTATGTCCGTTTCGATGCTTGGATTAGACACATGAACTATGAGGTAACAGAAGGCTTTTTTTCTAATCAGAAGGAAATTTATATTGATTTCGATTTCCAGAAAGATCTGTAAGCGGCCATGTTCTTCAACCCCATCCATCGACTATCCGGCCGTATTGAGACAATATTGTGGAAAACCCGCATATTTTACATGAAAACGTACGTCTTTTATTAATAAATAATATAACGATGAAGAGGGACGTTTTTATTATTCATAATTTCGTAAATGTACGATTTATCAGCTAAGTTTTTCACCCTAAACGGTGTTTTTCCGTCAAAAAAGCCAAAACGTGATGGCTGAAAAATTGAGGGGGCGGGGCTTGTTTTGGGACGTCGCAAATCCATGGATTTGCTACCTGCCAATTTTGCGCCGTCGCAAAAGGGCCGATTTGCTACCTCCCAATTTTGCGCCGTCGCAAAATGGCCGATTTGCTTCCGACGTCTTTTTTGGAGGTTGCAAATTGAGGTTTCTGCTACTTTTTGAAATTGGTAGCGAATCCAGCAAACATTATCGAGCTCGAGAAAAAATTCTTATTCCTTCGCTCTTATATGTTAATCAGCGTAAAATTCTGCTCTAGACGCAATCAAAAAAAGTTCAAAAAAGTGAATGACAAATTTCGTGGTATAGTGGTTAGTGGTCGGGACTACCAATCCAGCCTCCCAGGTTCGATTCCGGGTGGGTGCAAATCGCGAAAAAATACTAGAAATCGACTTTAATGGAACAATCAAAGCTATTTGAGTGATACTAAGTGATTTTGGACAATAACGGCACCTGTATGTGAGCCTAAAACGGACTTTTTAAAATTTTTGGGGCTTAATACGTGAAAAATAAAACGGCTTCAAACCGGCTGAAATTGATACCACTTACTCTAGGGCTAATTATAAGACACTTTCCCGTTAACTTTTTTTGGGATCTTACTGTATTGTGGATTACTGTAACATAAAACTTATTCTCCTAAACCGCGGTTTACTTCGGAATTCTCGCACAAAATTTTTAGTTTTTTAGTTAGATATTTTAATAAGAAAACAAAGATCCACTCTTGATGTATAAATTAAAATTTCCCTCCGTCTCCAATGTGTGTTGACGTTATCAACAACTGGTGAAACTGCGTGAGATTACTCAGGTGTTTCAAGTCGTACCGCCATATAAAAAATATTTCTACGCAAACCAAGCCTTTCTTAATCATTTTAAACGTAATGGTGGGGATACGAGCTCTTTGCGCTATGTGGTATACAAAAAAATGGAAACGTGTTTCATGTTACAGTAATCCACGATACAGTAAGATCCCAAAAAAAGTTAACGGAAAAGTATCTTATAATTAGCCCTAGAGTAAGTGGTATCAATTTCAGCCGGTTTGAAGCCGTTTTATTTTTCACGTATTAAGCCCCAAAAATTTTAAAAAGTCCGTTTTAGGCTCACATACAGGTGCCGTTATTGTCCAAAATCACTTAGTATCACTCAAATAGCTTTGATTGTTCCATTAAAGTCGATTTCTAGTATTTTTTCGAGATTTGCACCCACCCAGAATCGAACCTGGGAGGCTGGATTGGTAGTCCCGACCACTAACCACTATACCACGAAATTTGTCATTCACTTTTTTGAACTTTTTTTGATTGCGTCTTGAGCAGAATTTTACGCTGATTAACATATCAAAAAATCAGCTGTGGGTTTTCAGAAACAAAGATTTTACGGCCGTTTTTAGCGGCCGATACGGTATTACAGTATGTTACAGTAGGAAAATCGGAAAAATAATGATTCCGTCGTCACCGCAAGGGTCCAAAACTTCAGTAACCATCAAATCATCGCACAGTAAGGTAAGATACGACAGCTGGAGGCGATTACTTCTAAAACAGTAAATTGTAAAAAAATATACCTTGAAGAAGGTTTTGGGGAAAAATATTGTTCGCTTTTGCTTAGCACCTTCCAACAGTCATTTTAATGCAAAAAACTCAAAATCGATTTTTTCCTATGTCCACGGCTGACGCACTGACTCAGAAATCGTCTTTTAAAGAAAACCTGAGCGTCGCACTTGGAGTACTTCCCCTGTTATTTACGTTAGGTGAAAAGAGACCAAGTTGTTCTAAATTTCTTAGTTTTTTTCTTTCACTCTTAACCAGAAATTAGGGGGTCCCTTCGGGCCCCCCAATTTCTGGTACTTTTGCTTGTTCTTTTACTCTTGCTTTTGAATTTTCCCTAAGCCTTATGATTCCTTTTGAAATTTTTAAAAGGCTCGGGGCCTGCGGCCCCTCGCATGCGGTGCCACGTCTCATACTGAGTGCTGTGAAGACTTGACTGGAAGGCTCGGGGGCCTGCGGCCCCCTCGCATGCGGAAAAGTATCCAAACTCCTAACTTCGTGTCAAATCCTATCCCAAATCCATCACTTTCCCCCAAAAAACAAAATTTCAAAAATTCCTATCACAGTACCATGTACTCAACCCAAAATATGCAAAAGTACCCAACTCTGCACCACTCACTCGCACCCCAAACCCGGCCGCGTTCCTGATACTACCCCCTAAATTCCCAATTGTTCATGAAAACCCTAACACAAATTCATCACTGTCCCCAAAAACCAAAATTCCTACAATTTCTATCACCGTACCATGTACTGAACCCAAAATATGCAAAAGTAACCCAGTCTGCAACCCTCACCTGCACTGGAAACCAACCGCACTCCGCACTCGCATTTTTGAGACTGACTGCTCCGCAAACCAAAACTTTGAAAATGATTTTAAATTTTTTCAAAAATTCCCACAATCGAGACCGATTTTTTGCTTCGAATTTTTCAAAATGAGAATTGTTTGGCTTCACGGACAAAAAAACAGACAGAATAATTCTTTTGCTTTAATAAAGGGGAAAACCCTTCATGTATTTAAATTTCCCCCAAGTGCCCTCAACGTGGCGAACTTTCCCTTGTAAAATCTAAACACTTACATTGGCATCTCCAAACGCAACAGCCGCGCATTTCTCGGGAGTTGTTGTGTAGGCTCCAGCCGACAGCTGAAGCAACTTCGTCTTGGCCAAGCTCTCATCAAATTGACCATTCACAATGACTACGGACAACAAGAAAACCACCACAACTCTCATGATGCACCGCTAATCCTATTTGAGTGATATGACACACATTGAACGTGGAATTGAACCCACTTTTATACCATCCATTTAATGTGTAAAAAAAGCGCAATCCCCCAAGCCTCAGCGCGGGATTGACCCCGGATTTACATTGCAATTACACGGCGACATGCGGTTTGCCTCGTCGCAGAAACATTCAAACCATCCACTTGCGGTATGTTTTGTTGTGACTTCGCTGATGCAATTGGGGAAAATGTGTTTTCGAAACGTTTCGAACATAATCCGTGTTGCTGTAGGGAGAGGTCAAAGGGCCATCTTGTGATTCTTGGATTAAGCTTCCGCTTTGCAAATCTATTTTGGAGAGGCTGCGGTCAAAGTGCAACAAGTATTGATGTGTTTGCTGAATTTTTGTTTTGCTAGTATTCAAGGACGTCCATGCAACATTTCAGGCCAGCGAAGTTGAAGCTGTTTCCTGACGTCGCAAATAGCCAGTTCGCGCTTTGCAGAAATGACCGAGATTTTTTGTCGACGCTGGACGTAAATATGATACTTTTTTGGCGAATTTTGGCATGAAAAGTATCATATTTAATTCCACTGTAGAGCGTAATGTCTCACAAATACAATTTCCGCACAAAACTGGTCGAAATGTGGCCAAATTTTTTTTCTCTCTGATCGTTTTCCGCATTTTTCTTCCTTTCTTAACTCCACACACCGTTCAATATCTCGGCTCTCCCTGCAAAGCGCAAGTTAAAATTTTCAGAACTTGATCTATGGTGTACGCCCGTCTAATGTTGATTATTTTTATCACACCAGGGCACAAGGCACCGTCGATTCCACGTCCACCTGAACATAATCCAAGCACAGACTCAGCAAACGTGGGAAAAAACGAAAAGCGAATTAAATTTGACCTTTTGGAATCAGACCTTACGTCAATCGAACCCTCAGCTCAAAGGATATTCACTACCTTCCTGTTGAATCGGGAATTCAAATGAGAAAAAGTGAATTTACTCAAGATATTTACAATTTATTGTGGTAGTTGCTTATGGCTGTCCAACAAGCGTGTTTATCCCCAAAACCTTTTGATGACGTCTCCAAAATCTCCACAGCCAGCAATCCCATATCCCAAGATCATTTTCGTGTAATATCGGATATGGTCTTGCCAATTGTAGCCAACTACAACCCTATTACTGCAGGCTTTGTCTTCCGGAGTTGGGCAAATTTTGAACCCTCCATCGGTCATGCCGTTTTCATACCACACCTCGGCACTGTGATGAGTATAACCCAGGAAATTTTGAGGGGGCATGTGAGGTACGGTGTCCTTCCGATTCACCACTCTGAACGCATAGGGAACGAGTTTCTCAAAGTTCCTCGCATATTGCGCATTTCCCGTCCTTGGCTCCCCAAATGTAATCAGCTTCAGCTTCGCGGACGGAACTCCTTTGAGCTTGACCAGCTCGCCGGCTGAGACGGAGGCCAACGCCGCCCCAAGTGAATGCCCAGTGACCCACACTTCGTAATCCGGGAATTGAGAGCGTAATCGGGCGACTTCTTCGTTCATACCGGCCTTCTCGATGTTCTGATAGACACTGTAGAAGTATTCCGCCGCTTTGCCGCCAATCCCGGCGTTCACAAGTCGCCCAAGTCGGGCACTCTCGTACATCAGCTGGAGAACGCTGATTGTGCCTCTGGAAATTTCTATTTGACAAACGAAAAAGACGGAACAAACAATTTATTTTTACGGCCAAACAGACCGATATACCTGCTATTCTTAAGAATTCTTCTCACCTATACTAGTCGGCGCAAAAAGTCTTTGGAATTTTTCGCGGCCCCCAAATCCCGCCGCACCCCGAAATGTCGATTTGTCGCTGAGAAAAGTGGGAATCGCGCGCGACAATAAGGCAAAATCAACAAAATTGCACAGTGCAAAAGCACTTTTCGGGCCGGATGCACGGTGCAAAATGTGTTTTCGGTTTCGCGCACAGTGCAGAGTCGCAGAAAATTCCAAAGACTTTTTGCGGCGACTAGTACGCCAAGAAGATGGCTTTGTCCGTGTGTGAGACCCCCGTAAATCCAAAGCAGACCTTCCATTCACCAGGCATCTTCCCACATTCCGCCGTCACCGTCTTTGTGACTTCAGCATCGTCAAAAACATTCTTTACGCACTTCACGGGGAAGGTGGTGTATGCAGCAGCTGCCAAAGGGAAAAACTTGGTCTTGGCTAAAACCTCGTCGAACTCAGCTGATACCACAGTTGATAAAATGGCAGAGAGCAACAGTTGCACCTTGATTGTCATAGCTCAAAAGGCTGATTTATATCCAGAACGGCTAAGCCCGTTTTCGAATTCCGAAACTGGGATACTAGTTTGCTTTATCGACAAAATTTTTATGATGATCCTATGTTTGCACAGACCATGGGGTCGCGGGAGTTCCGATTATTTTTAAATGGTCAGTCGGATGTTCTCGTGGGAGTATTTGGATGCTCTCCTGACTCCTATCTTCTAGCGAGCCGTACAAACTCATCTCGAATAGCGCATGTTCTATGGCATGTGATAACGTCCGAAGAAGAGAGGTTGTTTCATTAACAATAAGAAGTTATTTTTTAACAATACAGTTCGCGCCAAAATGATAGAGCCACTCAGTTTTTCTGGATTTATTATATTATTCTATGGTTAGGTGGCCCAAGCCGGCATAATGCATATATGCAATAACATGATATACCTGCACTACGGCCACCATAACTTAGGACTAGCCATGGCGCCCAATCCAAAAAAAAATCAAAAATTCGGACCTTCGCCCTCGGTCGACGCGTCAAAATGATAGAGCCACCGGATTTTTCTCCTCGGTGGTGACAGGCGGGGATCTGTTGGTACTGTAGTCTGTTAATATCACTGCTGCAATATAGGCCTTCTAATATGTTTTGAAAGTATTTCCACCCGGATACAACGGTCGGAAAATTTATTTCCGGTCAGTTTTACCCAAAATTTGGAAGATTTTCTAAAGTTCGTGGGAGGCTGAACTACCAAAGCCCCATGCTTTAACTACTCTTTACGCCATAAATTAAAGTATTTGTTGAACAAGTAACTAACTATTCAGGCTGAGCCTTTATTCACACATCCGAATCATCCGTACGCAATCTCACGTTGTAATCAACGTCACGCGTCGTTGTGAGACCTCGGTGGTCGTGTAGATCGACGGTACCTCGGCCACATTACCGCCGCTCATTCTCAGATAAGCCTTCTTGACGTAGGTGCGATAGGGCTTGATAAAGTACAAGATCATCACACAATCCAGCGTTGTTTGAGTCAACACCGGGAACGTACAATAAACCAGCAGCGTAGGCAGATAGCGTACACCGAGGAACGGCGCGATAAAATAAAAGGCGCCGGGAATGGCCAATGTGGCCAGCGCCACTCCGAACTGAGCCACCAGCGACCAGAACAACATCAGCTGCATTCGCTGAGTGTTCATGGAAAAATTGGACTTCCGTATGCAACGATACATCACTGTAGTTGCAACCACCACAGAGGCGACGATAAAGAAGATGATGTAGATCAGACTGTAGACTCCTTCGCCTAGTCTTGTACCGTTTCCGAAGCAGAGCGTGTTCGGGTATTTCTCGTAGATTTGGAAGAAGAAAGGGTCTTCTTTAATCAAGACTTTTTTTACCCTTTCTTGATCGGGGAATCTGAAGCATAGGGGTATCTAAAAATACGAATAAATTGTGGACGTCTTGGTTAGAAACACAGAGAAGCTGACTAAAAAGGGAAGTACCACAACTGCTACGCCTCCTAAAAAATCTTTGCAGATGTAGGAAAAATGCTCATTAAAATTCAGACTGTCTACGATAGAAAGATTTATTAACCTTTTGGTTCCAAAATTCTCAAAAAACCGCCGCATTTCACCACCGTCTCACCTAAAATCCCGGGTTTCATTCGGCAAAACGCAAGGTAGGTGGCGCTTGATAGGTCATGGAGAAGCTCAATCTCACCTTGCGACAAGTTTAATTTTAATTTGAGGGCTCTGACTTTGACCACTTCCCTTGTAAGCAGAAAACACCTACGAATATGATGGCGCAATGGAACCCCACAAAGAGCACAAACAATCCAACGATCTCACGCGCTCCCAAGCTCACTTTCCCTTTCAATCGAAACCACGAGCTTGGAGGAATCGACTGGACAAAACGATAGGCGAATTGAAATGCGAGCGAAGACCCGCGGCCCACCATGATAAACGTGCCGACGAATAGCATCGTTTTCATGGCTGACTGGTCCAGCGGAAACACAATACCAACACCAAAGTAGCAAGGGACGGGGAACAGTGTGACTGGGCATATAACATTCCCCATGATGTCGAAGAGGAGCGACCAGAACAGCTCGTTGATCAAGTAGTAGCGATAGGTCTTCATCGTGTGGGTTCGGGCTGAAAGTATCGATTGTTGGAAGTGGCTAGGCTGGGATTTAGAGTGTGTGTTTTTTCATAAAACAATGATCTTGTTATGTTGTATTTTTGAAAATTTTTTTTGGACTCCTCGGTCTGAGAGATCGCTAGAATGAATAAAGCCTTCAAAAAAATATCTCTGGCCTTCCTGGTTGAAGTACAATCTGGGCAGCTGAAAATCTTGGAAAATGTCGCGCAAAAATAAAAAATTCAGGCGTACGGAGTACAGTGTATATATATTTCCAAAAAAAGTCGACATTCACTAAAGAGCGCAGTACGCAGAACTATTTAGAGGTCGTGGTTCATGTACCACGTCACGCCAAATAGGGTAAATCGGGCTCTTCTACGATTTGGCTTTCGTCACAAACAAAAAAGCGCAGACGAAGGATATTGCATACTTCTTACATAGGTAAAAATGCTCTTAAAGTTTTGTCAAATTTGAGCGTCGCATTTGGGGCACTTTCCCTATTTTAATATTTAGTGGAAAAATCAATTAAAATTGATTTTTCCACTAAACTATTGGACAAAAGACCATTTTGACGAGGAGCCTTTTTTGGTATGAAGTGCCTACATGGCGGAATCAATCTACTGACAGAAAATGACTATTTTGCATCGGGGAAGTATCAGAAAATGTGGCAAAATACCTCCTTCTCCAAATGAAAAATCTCCAATCTCAAAAACGCGCGCGCTCTTTTTGTAGAAGAATACCTTCAAAACGGACATTTTTTTAGTTGAAGAGTGAGGCATTTTGCTTCATTTTTTGATACTTCCCGGACACAAAATGGCACGTTTCTTGCCACTGGATCAGGTCCGTCTCTGTAATGGTCACTTTCGAGGAAAGTATTATCTAGGTTTGTGATGGGATATAAAAAGCAAAATGTAAGCCGCTTTGAAAAATGTAGGGTCAAAAGGAAATGGGTAAAAAAATCCTAAAAAAACGGCAGAAACAGATGCTTTTTGAATTGGAGAATTACATTTTCGGCCAATCGACGCATTAAACTCTTTGTATGCTTCAAAACAGCGTTATACCTGGCGTTAGGCTAACAATGATATATTTGAAAAGTTTGACATCTTACTTTTAACCATTACCGTGATCGTCCCAGTGAACAGAAGAAAAGTAAGCACCAAGACCACAGTGTCGTAGAGTGAATATCGCCTCAATAAAACGTCCGACGGCATTTCGTCCGGCGACAACAGCATCTTCCTAGTCTATAGCCGAATTACGGAGATAGTGGCAGCTTCAATGGAAGAGTACCTTGAGGAAACGCTGTAACCTTTTGCTCGTCTTGCGTACTCGAAAAGTCAAACTTTTAAACGCCTTTGAAGTTTCAACCCAAATTAGCACGCCTGCTGTAAATATTAAATTTACGTACCATCCGGTCTTACAAGGTTAATTTTGCAAATAACTCAGGAAATAATGCACCAACCTTTGTATAATTGGGTTTATTCAATAACTGGAACAGAAATTTTGGTTAACAGTCCAGCTGGTCAGGCGAGCTCTACAAGTTAAACTTAATTTTTACATTCTTCGTTTGCATTAACAATAAATATTTTTACTGCGTTTGAAGAAAATTGGAATTCCGAAAAAAGAAGGTCCAAAAATTGTCCGATTCCACCTTTCGATAGAAAAGAAACAACGAGCTGGCTAGTTGTCCTGCGGTGGTCTCTGTAGTCGACTACTTGCAACACCTTCTACCTGAAAATACTTGGCCAAGCGGAAGGTTGCGGATGTGGAAATCGGGTAATCGAATGGTTTTGTTCCCCTTGGAAATAAACACGAGAATAAATGATAGTCAACTCGAATAGATCAATTTACCAAAAGAGTAACAAATACAATAAATTAAAATAGCAATACAATGCAATAGCAAAACAACAACGTTTCAACAATACTCAACATACAATAGAATACTCCATACAATACACTCCCTACAACTCCAACACAACAACAACACCCACACAACAACTGATCAATCAAGACGGGATAAAACCTCAGAGACGGTTACGGTGCCGTGATTCAGGCTCTCCGCTTCGGGATCTCTCCATCGAACATACTCGAACATCGGGGAAAAACCGCTGGGAAACAGTTGACACGGGTCACATCTCTCTCTCTCTCTCTCTCTCTCTCTCTCTCTCTCTCTCTCTCTCTCTCTCTCTCTCTCTCTCTCTCTCTCTCTCTCTCTCTCTCTCTCTCTCTCTCTCTCTCTCTCTCTCTCTCTCTCTCTCTCTCTCTCTCTCTCTCTCTCTCTCTCTCTCTCTCTCTCTCTCTCTCTCTCTCTCTCTCTCTCTCTCTCTCTCTCTCTCTCTCTCTCTCTCTCTCTCTCTCTCTCTCTCTCTCCATAGATTCCATCGAGTTGACACATCGTGGATAACTCCATGTTCCGTTGAATCTGACAAAGATTAATTTTTGTTGATTTATAAAATTCTGCATTCGGCAGAGCTACGTAAGTTTTTTCTGTAGGTCCAAGTGAAACGCTAAGATTTCCTTCAAGTTTTGCGGATTAATTGGGCATAGGCGGTCAATTCCCAAAAGTTTTTGCTTGGCCATATATTTGCCAGCTCCACGTGAAAAAATCGATTTTTTGTTGAAGGTTTGTGATAATTTCTAATAATTTAAGTCAGTTTGTTTTCTTCAGAGCCACACACTTATTAGCAGTGGGGGATGATCAATAAATTTGTCATTGAACAAGGCGACTTTAGAACTTTTTAACCATAAATAAATTTCAAGAGAGCTCGCTGCTGTGGGCAAAAAATGGTCTAATGGCTTTTGCAGCTCCACACTTCCTGCAACCTGACCAAACAAAAATTCTTTGTGTGGGAAAAGGAACTTAACACTAAGACAAAGGACAATAGCTGGCGTTTTCCAAAAATATCAACGCTTAACCTTTGTCCAAACTGTCAAATATCCGGCCGTATAAAATGGCGGGATTCATTGTTGTCTGTATTCAGTATTAACGTTCGACATGAGCTCACTTCGATTGCCTGTTTTTGTCACTTTTGTGCTACTTTGTAAAATTTATTGGGCCGACGCAGCAAGTTCCAGTTCAACTGCCGCATCAACAGCATCTGGAGCGGCGGCCGCCTCTGGCGCCACGAGCGGCGGCTCATGCGCTGATGTGGCGTTGAATTGCCCAATGCTTTCGAAACTTTGCAATAACCCGACGTATGTGGTGATTCTCACGGAACAGTGTCCCAAAACCTGCGGTATTTGCACGAGCTGCAAGGACAGTCGAGAAAGGTATATTTTTTGGCTGAAAAAGGAAGAGTAGTAAGGGCAATGCTCAGGGTTGCTTTATAATATTTCTTATATTTTGCATATAGGCTGTGAGTTTTATAGCAATTTTTGAAAGTCCTAGCTCAAGCTTTGCAGAGTGAGCCGAGATATTGAAAGACCTTTGCGGCCGAGAGAGTGCAAAAGACGCAGAGGGCGGTCAAAGAGGAAACGGTTTTTTCCGTTTCTTTGCCATCTTCTCGTATGAAAAAGTTTTTTTTGTAGATAACCTCTCGAATGGAAACAGGTCTAAAGATTTTCATACCAAAATCTGCAAAAAAAGGAAATTTTTGCCAACTTTCGGGCTAAAAAACTCGATTTTTTCCCTGCAAACGCGAACTGAGACTCTTGTATCATTCTCACACAAATTTAATCTAAACTTGTGCCAAGCTTCACCACAACAGGAACGTCGCAAGTTGTGTAAAAATTGCAAGAAAGAAGGAATCAGAAATGCTGAGCAAGGTCAACCAAACTAAGGCCAACGGTTGCTCAGAAAGAACTAATTTTTAAACTGCAAGAAAATCAACCCGAAACGGCAGTTAAGAACATATTCTTTCAGCTGCGGAACCTGGAAGAACAACGGCTTCTGTGAGAGCGCCTACTACACCCAAGAGCAGAAACGCCAATTCTGTGCGAACAGTTGTGATCTTTGCGGCGCTGCGGCAACCCCTGCTGCAGGATAACAACTTCCAGTAATGTTTTTTGGTTATGTGGTAAATTAATATTTATTTTTTTATTCAATTTCATAAATGTTTAAATTGCCGGTGATAAATCAATAAAACTTACTTTCTTTATTTCATCCAAAAAGTCTTGAGAAACGTTTTGGGTCGACGACGGTTCGGGCCAACACAAAATCGCTCGAAAATGAGGCGTATACCAGGTGGTGAAAAAAAGGTTGTTGGAGGTTGGAAAAACCATCGAATGCTTGGCGGACGGTCGGCAAAGGCTTGGTGAACACTTGACAAAGACTTTTACTATGGCCATTTTTCATAATGTTAGCTATTGTTCAGCTTACTTTTCTTTTTGGTGAGTAATTTTAACATAAAAACAACCAAGACTCGCTCCAAAAAAAAAGGATCCGCAAGTTTTAGCTGGAAGGTATCCAGTAATATATAAGAAGGGTGCGTTATATTATTCCAAAAAGTTTCAAACTTACTTCATTTTTAGCCTACATGAAATTTTGTGGCCTACTTCAAAATCTGGTCTGCCTAGGTGAAAAAATTTCATGTGGGCGAAAAAAAATTTTTTTTTTTTTGGCATAGGTGGTTTTTTTTCATGTGGGCGAAAAAAAAATTTTTTTTTTTGGCATAGGTGGTTTCTTTTCATGTGGGCGAATTTTTTTTCTTTTTTTTTGGCATATCAGTCTGTCGGGAAAATAACGGCGGATCGTCGCGCCTCGGAATCGCCCATCATCGCTTTGCGACGGCGAAGTTTGTGATCTCAGAAATTGGAAAGATGAAGAAATGGAAGTAGGCTAAAACCGAGATTTTGGCCTAGTTCATGCAGTCGGTGAAGATGTAGGCCAAACCGAGATTTGGCCTAGTTCATGCAAGCGGTCAGGAACTAGGCGGAAATCATGGTTTTGGCCTAGTTGATTAAATCGAAGTTGATTAAATCGAACTAGGCCAAAACCATGATTTTCGCCTACTTCCTACCCGCTTGGATGAACTAAGCCAAATCCACGTTTCCGTCCAGATCATAGAAAATCCTAAAACATGGAGTTATATATCCAAAAATTCGCAAAATTTTTCTGATTCAGAATATGTAAAAATTTGTTGCCTAATTTTAGTTTGAAAGGGTGAAAAATTCCTCAAACCTTTTCTCGCAACACCATGAAAATCCCTTTTTGACCAAGTTTTTACCAATAAGAAAATAAAAATTCAATGGATAAATGTGTCTTGCCCACAGCAATTTCGCGTCACGGCACGAAAATAATTATTTGGCATTTTGTTCAAGAGGCGTCCTATTGGTAAACAAGTTGTTGATTTCGCAATGTTTTTTCAAGCGTGAAAGGACGCCTCTTGAACAGAATGCCAAATAATTATTTCGTGCCGTGACGCGAAATTGCTGTGGGCAAGACACATTTATCCATTGAATTTTTATTTTCTTATTGGTAAAAACTTGGTCAAAAAGGGATTTTCATGGTGTTGCGAGAAAAGGTTTGAGGAATTTTTCACCCTTTCAAACTAAAATTAGGCAACAAATTTTTACATATTCTGAATCAGAAAAATTTTGCGAATTTTTGGATATATAACTCCACCTGTTTTAGGATTTTCTATGATCTGGACGGAAACGTGGATTTGGCTTAGTTCATCCAAGCGGGTAGGAAGTAGGCGAAAATCATGTTTTTGGCCTAGTTCGATTTAATCAACTTCGATTTAATCAACTAGGCCAAAACCCAAAATCTCGGTTTGGCCTACATCTTCACCGACTGCATGAACTAGGCCAAAATCTCGGTTTTGGCCTACATCTTCACCGACTTCACCGACTGCATGAACTAGGCCAAAATCTCGGTTTTAGCCTACTTCCATTTCTTCATCTTTCCAATTTCTGAGATCACAAACTTCGCCGTCGCAAAGTGATGATGGGCGATTCCGAGGCGCGACGATCCGCCGTTGCTTTCCCGACAGACTGACGTATGAAAAAAAAACCACCTATGCAAAAAAAAAAAAAAAATTTCGCCCACATGAAAAAAAACCACCTATGCCAAAAAAAATTATTTTTTTTTTGCCCACATGAAAAAAAACCACCTATGCCAAAAAAAAATAATTTTTTTTTGCCTAGATTAAAAAAAAACAAAAATTTCATGTAGGCTAAAAATGAAGTAAGTTTGAAACTTTTTGGAATAATATAACGCACCCTTCTTATATGCAAAATGCCTCAAAGAAGTCAGGTCAAAACCATTCTTGGGCCTGATCGATCTTATGATTTCTGCTAACTAAGCCTAGCTTGAGGCAACTCAAAGTACCGTCGACCCGAACTGTCGCTGGCCCGAAAAGTCATAGCCACCATTTTTGCGATTTTCGCAGCGACGCGCCAAACCTCAAACTGTAAATTCTCACAATCAGGACTTTTGGATGGAGTAGTCCTTTCTGCCAGCCACCTTTTCAAATACTTCATACTAATTCCCAAAAAATATTATGGAAACCTCGGTGTTTTTCTTACCGTGAGAATGTGAAAGGTCTCCTTTTTGCTAAATCCGGCAAAATAATGTTATTGTCTTCGTATGGCTTCTAATTACTAATCTTCGAGCCCTCGACAAAAACCACTTTATTTGCTTATCCTTTAATTTTAAATATCTATTATTATATTCATCATGTCCAATTATGGTGACATACCCGTATCAGACTACAAATACGACGACTTCTTATTTTACTCCAAACTTCTTCGCTTCTTTCTAACTCCGGCCTTATTTTTTGTCGCTGCAGTTTCTCCGAGTCTGATTTATATTACTATCAAAGCGAAGCATCTGCAGTTTCATATGCGTTTCGGTTATGCTGTAAATTTGTTCAATACATTGTGTTACATCTTGACGTTCACCATGCTCCAACCGAGCTTCTTGCTGCCCTCGCCGTTCGTGTTGTTTCGGGGCTCTCTTCAGAACCGGTTTTCAGCGGTAAGAATGTAGCTAGTGTTGTATGAGATGAGTGGGCTTTATGTGAATTGGGAAACTGTAGCAGGAAATCAGTCCCGTGTTTTTTTTTGTAACAGAAATGGTTTGAGATTGAAATTACGAATATAAGACGCATTTAGGATAAGAAACTGGCGCTCTAATCCTCATATAATACACATTCTTTCTTCAAGAAATTAGTTCTTAATTGGCCGAACCTGCTAGGCTAACAAGGGAAGTACCCGAAGTGCGACGCTCAGATTTTTATAAAAATTGGCATAGATGGAGATCAGAATTTTCTTATTCGATTGCGAACATCCTAGCTCGCGCTTTGCAGAATCCGCCGAGAAAGAAGGGCCGGAATATCGAAAAAAATCTTCAAATGCCGACGAATTTCCCTGCAAATCCGCTTGATCTTGGCATTTCGTCCCAGGAGAAAAATATTTTTTTCTCGCAAGAAATTTTTTCTTGGTAATGTTCAAGACTATTTTGTTGCTTTTATGTGGAATATGGTGTTATTTTCACTTTTTTACACTTGATTCTAGCGCTATTAATTGGATTGTCGCCATCCGAGGGGTAAAATGTTTCGTCCTTTGACGAATTTATACAGTTTTTCCTCTGCTGATGGGCAAACCACTCTAATAGTTGCTTTAAAGTTGTTTAGGAGACATGCAAACGTTCTACGGTCGCGTAGGAACGTAATCATAAGGTAAGTGTTAAAAACATTTTATTTTTTCACTATTTTTCAGTTTATGCCATTTCAGAAAACAAAGTAAAGGTCCCAAGGTGTTCCGTCAGTGTTCCGATGGTGTACATTCGCTCTTGTTGTTGTTCAGAATTTGCTCACTGAAACATATTAAAGTTTTTGTAACACTTACTTTAAGATTATGTTCATACACGACCGTAGAACGTTTGCATGTCTCCTAAACAACTTTAAAGCAACTATTAGAGTGGTTTGCCCATCAGCAGAGGAAAAACTGTATAAATTCGTCAAAGGACGAAACATTTTACCCCTCGGATGGCGACAATCCAATTAATAGCGCTAGAATCAAGTGTAAAAAAGTGAAAATAACACCATATTCCACATAAAAGCAACAAAATAGTCTTGAACATTACCAAGAAAAAATTTCTTGCGAGAAAAAAATATTTTTCTCCTGGGACGAAATGCCAAGATCAAGCGGATTTGCAGGGAAATTCGTCGGCATTTGAAGATTTTTTTCGATATTCCGGCCCTTCTTTCTCGGCGGATTCTGCAAAGCGCGAGCTAGGATGTTCGCAATCGAATAAGAAAATTCTGATCTCCATCTATGCCAATTTTTATAAAAATCTGAGCGTCGCACTTCGGGTACTTCCCTTGTAAATCCAAAAGAGCTTTTCTCGCTGATCGTTAGCACTGCGCCGTGTACATTTTTAGCCAAAAAATTGTTCATTACTTCGGTGAAAAGACGTTTTTTTTAAATCTCCTTGAATTGACATACGGCCTATGCGCGACTAGCCCTCAAATTTATAGAAAGTATAGATTTGAGCTGCGGTTTGTAAGAAAGCCTGAGCAATTGCATTTACAGCACATCATTAGCCTTTTTACACTACAGTGACGGACCTGATCCAATGGCAAAAAACGTACAATTTTGCATCCAGAAAGTACCAAAAATATGGCAAAATGCCTCCCTCTCTAACTAAAGAAAACCCTGTTTTGTAGAGCGCGCCCTTTCCCTCACAAAAAGAGGGGCGCGCTTTTGAAATTAGAATTTTTTCACTTGGAGAGGGAGGTATTTATTTTGCTAAATTTTTTGATGCTTCCCGGATAAAAAATTGCACGTTTTTTGCACTGAATCAGGTCGACCACTGCACATTCCGCTCAATCAACGTAACTTTTTCTGGTGTTCCAGGTCAGTCTCACAATCGCATGGGCCAATCTGTGTTCCGGGATTGTGACCACGGTCGTGATGCGACTTTTGATGACAATCCAAATGCGAAACGTGACGAGGATATTGATCGGATCGATGCCTTACGTCTTTCTTCACCTTACTGCCATAGTACCCGCCTTGACGTACGTCATTCTCACCACAAATCCGATATCCAGCGATTTGAAGAGCGAAGATTTGGTGGTGTTCCAAGGACAAGAATGGTTGTTGGATGCTGGAGGGCTTTACTGTGAGTTTTAGAGAATTTTAAGGGAAAAGATAAGGCATTCTTCGGAAGAAAAATAGGGTTTTCAAATGTACGCACGAGGTTTTTAACCACTAGATATGTGGATCCTGTCAAAGAAAAAACGAAATTGTAAGAATGAGGTCAAAACCTTAAGATTTGAACTCAAAAAACATGAAATATAACAATCTAAAAAAGAGAATTAAGTAGCCGCTAAAATTTCAGCCTTCCCCGCAACCGATTACAACCGAATCTTCTGGATGCTACAAGCCTTTTCCTTTGCGATTGTAATCTTTCTCTTTCTTGTCCTCGCAATCTTCGAATTCTGTCGACGCCACAAAAACAGCGCGTTCTACATCCTCTGCGTGATCGTGTTCTTCCTCACGCCCTGGACGGTGATATCTTGCTCCATGTACTTCCGATGGAGGGCTGGCATGCCGATTGTGGAGCTGGCTTGGATGGTGACCTTCATCTTCCCGTTGATGGAAGCAATCGCTATTATTCGATTCATTAGTTGGCAATATTCGTTTTCGTACCTGAGACGGAGAATCTACACGTTCAGTGGGGCTAACGACAATATTAATGGAAGAAACCGGCCCGGTACAAGTGGTGATCAAAGACCGGTTAGCCGGGATACTGTATGATAATACATATATTTTTTGACACTTTTTTAAATGTGAAATTAAAAGGGAAAGAAGACAGAGTGGTAATTGTAAGGGACATGTGGCCTATTTTGAAAAAAAAAGTTAGAAAAATGTGTTGAAAACCAAGTAAGCAATCATAAGCGATAATTCGAGAATAAATGCGGATTCTCAAACCTTGTAGACAAACGTATTCGTTGAGCAGTTGCTTGACTATTCGACAAACAAGTTTTTTATACTAGACGTTCAAAATCTTTTTCGGGGGAAATCATTTCTCCCCGCAAGGCTTTTTGAAGATCAACCGAGACGCCAGAGAATTTACTACGGTAGAAGAGTTTCATTTATCAAGTAAACAAAGCGCACAACGTTTTTTCGTGGATTTTTGACCTGGAGATTGCTACAGCGACAAATTTTAGCAACGGTTGAATATGATTACGGTATACGGTAATAAACATCCATGGTAAATAAACGACAATAATTGTCCATACAATAAATTGAAATTTTTCGCTTTTAGGAATTTTCTACAGTACCTATTAAGCATAGAATATGGTTGGCGCAGAATTTCATAAAATGAGAAGCTGACTTATGCGTTAGTTCTACCGACCAACCTGTCACAACCTTACAAGGAAAGACTTCTCGTGCGACGATATTTTCTTCGAACTTTTCACACAAATCTTTTCGGCCGAAAGAGTGCGCGAAGCTCGGAAAGCGGCCATAAAGCAAAATACTTTTTGGCCATATATTTGCCAGCTTCATTCTGAACAGTTTGGTTTTATGTGGAGAAATTAGTCTCCTCTGGAGATACTGTGTACAGTGAGAGACCTGATCCAGTGGCAAAAAAACGTACCATTTTGCATCCAGGAAGTTTCAAAAAATGTGGCAAAATACCTCCCTCTCCAAGTGAAAAACTCAGATTTTAAAAGCGCGTTCGCTCCTTTTGTGAGGAAAAAGGGCGCGCTCTTCAAGACAGTTTTTTTTACTTGGGGATGGAAGCATTTTGCCACATTTTTGTTACTTCCCGGATACAAAATGGTACGTTTTTTGCCACTGGATCAGGTCCCCAACTGTATAGACATGATTACTTTTCGTGCAATTTTTCCTACCTTCGCCTAACAATAAGAGTCTCAGTCGTTTCAACAAATCAAGACGGCCTCGCATCTTTCTTACTGTTAGAAGAAGTTTTCTAAATTCGAATCAAAACAAGAGCGTGCAGTAGTTAGTAAAGTATAAATCCGAGTGCTATAGTAATCGTAAAGATCAACTCCGTCACAACTCAGCGGCCTACAAAAAAGTGTTTGACCTTCTTCATGTCGCTGCAGCTTCCTGAAATTTTGCAACTGAGACTCCGCCCATTTTCTTGACCCTTACACGCCAATAATGTCTGGCCTCTCTATCCAAAATTCAAAAAGAAGAACGCTGATTTGTGTGTTTACGTCGATGAACTACCAAAAAATCCGCATCAAAAAGCTCTGCATATTGATTATGAATCCGATCAGTGGCGACAGAATCGGGGGAAAAAAAACTTTTGAGCGGTTAAATATTGAGCTCTCAAAGACCATTCCCGCATTTGGTAAAGACGGTATTCAATTCTGTCTTACCTTTCTCTCCCGATTGATGTTTTTTGCGGTCCAAGACTTGCAATTGCTTCCGATTTTTTCGAAAAAACTTTAAAAAACAATTTACGGGAGGCACGAAAAACTCGAATTGAGGGGTGAAAAAAAGACGTTTCGTCGGAGTTGAGTGTGGAAAAAGGTGTTTTCGTGAGACGAATTTATCAATCAGAGCGCCACTATACGAACTGCAGCGGCTCCATGAAGTTGCGCCGATTGGATGGAACGGTTGATCCGTGGCGTCGATTCGCGGCGTTGGTCGCGAGCAAAGTGAGTTTTTCAACCAATTTTCTTCGCGTTTTTCTCATTGTTCTGGCCGTGGGCGGAGCCTGCGAGAGGTACGACGATGCGACAGTATGAGAATGGGTTTTTGTGGGGTTGGCGAAAAGAAGGCCTACAGTACCGCTTGGGAATATTTTTTATCGTTTTTGCGGGGAGAAATTGATAAGAAACTGTAGAAGTGAGAATAGAATTGCTTAAAAATTTAATTTCTTTTTGATCTTTACACTTCGTACCCGCGTTTAGAGGCTCCTAATTGTCCTTATTTCTTTAATCTTATGATCTGCCATAGGAATATCAGTTGGGCGCTACGGCTTTTCGGGTCAGCGACAGTTCGGGCCGACGATATCTTGGGTTGCAAATTGCATTGATTTGTTTTTTGATGCACGAGGTAGGCTAGGAGAAGGCTTAGTTAGCAGAAATAGTAAGATTGATCAGGTCCTAGGATAGCTTATCACCTATTTTGAAGTATTTTACATGTACTCATATCAATAATATCTAGAAAAAAGTTACGGATATGTGGGTTTTTGCCGCTAATTTTGGTTTTTATACGTTGCAACAACTCAGTTAGAGGAAAATAACGTGAGTAATAGCCGAAATTAGAAAAATTTGGCATGCTGCAAGCCTGTGCCTAGTCTCCGGCGAGGCTTCGCCGAGCCTTCGCCGAGCCTTCTCCGAGCGTCCGCCGAGCCTTCGCCGAGCCTTCGTCGAGGCTTTGCCGAGGCTTCGTCGAGCGTCCGCCGACCATCCAACGGCTTTGCCGAGTCTCGTAGGCACTTCGTAAAAACTTTTTTTTTGGCATCCACTTGTACTATACTTCGGTCGATTTTTTGTGGGCCCGAAAAGTCGGAACGGGAATCAATCCCGTTCTCTTTGGGGGTTATTAAAACAACAAATTTACACATGACCCTGCCATAAAACCTTTTTATATAAAGGACAATTGTTTATTCAATCAGAAACACCTTTTATGACGTGCTTTACATAAAAGTTCATGTAACCTTTTACTACAAAACAAAAGCAAAAAATCCCATGAAAGATCTAAAAATAATGTTTTTCAGCCATGCAGACCAACCTATGGCCCGGATTTCTCCATTCTACCGGTAGAGATTCTCCTCAAAATCTTTCGAAATCTCAGTGTCGCAGATCTGGGAAGACTCTGCCAAACATGCACAAAATTTTGTAAAATCATCCAAAATTATCGCTTATCACTGGAGATTCTGCACATTCCAACAATAGTCATTCAATACGGGAAATGGTTTGATGTGTTGACCAAAGTCAAGTCGAGTAAGTTTATTTGTATAATTTTTGGACGTCCGATTTTCTCAATTCTTCCTAGAATTCGAGTATTTTTGTTTTCACGTTAAAAACTTTTTGGCCATTTCGTGAAATTTCGATTTTTTGTTTGCAGACGAGGTGAAGCTCACTTATCAAATGGCCTCCGACAAACGTTTGCCGAAAGTCCGAAAGCCCAGATTTCTCAAATCGGACAGAGTGGCCCCGTTGAAGGGGATCATACAGCATTCGTATTTTGATGTGAGTTTAAATTTGTGTTTGGAAAGCTTTTGATTCTCAACCGGGTACTGAGAGGGATTTACGGCGTAAATTGGTTGATTTTTGTATTGTGTTGTATAAAAGTGCTCTAACTGCAAAGTTCAATATATTAGGAAAACTTGGCACACGCTTAATTTAGATTACTTATTCTTGCCTCACAAAGACAGCGCATGAAGTTGTGATGCTCAGATTTCCTTCGGACATAGGCCATGTTTCAATTCGCAAAAATTTTGGCTCGCGCTTTGAATGCGTAGCCGAGATATTCAGCGGTCTTTTCGGCCCAAAGACTGTGCGAAACGAGAAGTGCGATGAAAGATAAAAACACCTTAACAAAGTGCCTCTGTCTTCTAACAAACTTTTAATCTAAAAACCTCCGTTATTTCGGCAAAGCGCGAGCTAGAAGTCTTGCATATTTTTTAGAAACAGATATTCTAAATTTGTTCCAAGTTTTACCGAAATCTGAAGTACCTTCCCTGTTAGCCATTGCATATTCAGAACGTCTACTTTTTTACCATGAAACTTGCAGACCACCTACATACGGTTCGAACTCCTCCACCCAGATATGGTGTTTGATCTCCATCTTTCGATGATCTCAACTCGAACTCTTTACCTTGACTTTTCCCATCATTCAATCCAGAAGACGCTACTTCAACGATACTGGAATACAATGGCACAAGCCATCAACGACAACGTCAATATTGATGTCGTCAATATCATTCTCAATCCGAAAAACAACGAGTTATACGGGCAGATATTGCGCTCTCTTCCGGATTGCTCTGTGGAAGCGGTACTCGCGGTTGGCTGTAAATTATCTAAAAACTTTTTGTCGGACATGTGACGCAGGTAGTGTATTCTTAAGTTTGATGACAATAAACGGGTTACACATCTATGAATAAATGAACACGGGTTGTTTCCTTCGAACAGACTCATTAATCAGTTTGTCCAGCTTTCGTTCGTTGTACGTATTGTGGGCTTGCAATGATGGCCAGAAGGCAAACGGTCGGATGGACGTGCTCCTTGTTCTGTAAATAGAACAACTGCACACAGACTACAGAGGATCTGATGAAAGCCGGATGGTCGGCTTCATCAAATGCAATGTAGCGATATTAAGAGCATATGGCCAAAACTTAAGAGGAATGTGGTGCAGAAAGCAAAGTAATTTTCTGGACATCTCGGTTCCCAAGCCGCTAAAATCAATTTTAAAATGTTGTTATACTAACTCCTATAAAGATAAAGCCAGATTTTTGGTTCTTCGGAATTAGCATGGTAATATAACCAAGTTGTTCAATATCAGTACTATTCCAAGGCCCAAGAAATGGGCGTAATTCTTCATCACATCAAAATGCGCTATATCATGTCCTGAAACAATTTTCCTGCCTTGCAATAAAACATCATAGCCTAGAAAAAGTCGTGTTTAAATTATCCGACAGGCAACCGACCAGACAACCATGACCTTTATTCTTGAAGCCTGGCCCCAGACGTCCTCATGGCCTATAAAAATCAATCAAACAAAAGTCATTCGGGTTTTTACAAGCAACTCCTACTAACAACTTGACAAACAATACATGAAATCGATGAGAATTTTGAGTCAACCGTGTTTGGGCACCTGTTTATGCCAATAATAACGTAATACAATGTATTCTATAAAAGGGAAATCGAAAACGAACAATCCAACACTTGTTTTCCGAACAATGAGAGTCAGTTCGGTGATTGTGCTCTTCTTCGGGTTGGCTTTTGGTAAGTTAATTTAAATATTTGCAGCGGTTTTATTGCAATTTCAAAACAGTCAGCTTCAAAATTCTCTATGAAAACGTGATTGTAGCTAAACCGTCTGCATTTTCAGCCCTCTCCGCATATGCCAGCGAAGAAAAACAGAATAACGTCGAGGTGGTTGCTGAAGCCGTTTCACCGGCTGCCGTAGAAGCCGTGGAACGCCGTACCCGCCGCCCCCACCCCACCCATCCCCATCGCCCAACCCGTGGATCTCGCCGTCCCCGCCGCCCACGGGCACACAACCGCAATCACCGCCGTCTTCACGGCAGCAGCACCCCAGCCTCGATCGTCCAGAAACGTGAAGCCGGCTTTTTCAATGTGCAAGTTGTTGACGCCGGACGCTCCCGCCGTCCTCATCCTCATCACTGGATTAACCGCCGTGGACGTCCTCATCATCAGAGCACAACCCCAGCCTCCATTGTCGAGAAGCGTGAAGCCGGCTTTAACGTGTTGGTTGATGTTGAAGCCGCCGGAAAGGATGGCCGCCCGGTCACTCGTAGGACTAATGGAGGAGGAAAGAAGTCACTTCCCCGCAAACCCGCCAACAAAACCAGTGGGCGCAAACAGAACAACAAGGACAAGCAAGGAAGACCCTTCACCCCAAATCCATAAAAACATTATCAAAACTCTTTGTAATAACTGAGGTCGTCAATAAATTCGAGTACTGAAATATAACTGTCGGAATGCTGGGCCGGTCGAGCCGAACGAATATCGTGAAAAAATGATTTCCTGACATTTTGAAGAGAATTATAAAACTTTTTAAAATCAGCAATACCTACTGATTTAAAAATGTTTTCTATGGCCACCTAGAGTACCGTGGGGACTGCAGCTAGATGAACCATGGGAATTCTGCGGGGATGCTTGAAAATCAGCCAACATCTGCTAACAAAAGGAAATTCTTTTTGCTAGCAAATGATTAGGAACATCTAATTGGCAGCTAGATGTTCCTGATCACGTTTTTAGGTGTTTAGGTGGCTTGAACAGTTACCGTAAGGTTAACCAGGCGTTTTAATGCCTCAGAAACCATTTTTTGAAAACAAACTTTGAAAGCGATGGAAGAATCTACAATGCTACGTAGATTACGGTGAGAAATCGCAATTCTAATCGGTAAATGTCGGCTTACATCTCTACAGTTGCCTTCACGACATTGATTGGTGACGATTTATATTATTAATCGTAAATTAACAAAGCCACGTTAATTTTGCATGATTTGCAATCGCCCACAACCCCACAGGGAGTATGCACCAATGACTGAAAAATATTGACGTGGCCTACAAACCTTTTCGCAGAATCTTAAAGCCATTAATTTTGCACACCCACAGCAAACATCCGACGCAATTCCGGGAAGATTTTAACCAGAAGTGTTTGACCAACTGTTAATCGCACACTGGTCCTAGTTGTATATAAAGAGACTTGGCAATCCATGGAATCATCACTTGAATCTTCAGTGTAATATGAGACTCAGCTCAGTTCTTGCTCTCTTCTGCGTGGCCGTTTTAGGTAGGTGCACTTGCTGTTTAAGAACAGGCTCATCTCTTTTTAGCCATCTCCGTCTTTGCCGCACCGGATACCAGGGTTACCAGGGGAAAGAAAAACGGAGAGAATGGACGTGGTCGTGAACATCCCGCCACCCGCGGAACCCGCGACGTTCAGGTCGTCCACGCTGACGCCGCCGCTCCCATCGCTGATGCAAAGGCGCCCGGAAAGCGTGAAGCCGGCTTCAACGTCCTTGCCAATATCGCTGCCACCCGCAGTAGCAACGGCGGCAGAAGAAAGCCAGACAACAGACGTGTGACTCGCCCACAGAACAAAGACAACATACGTCATGTTACCCCCAAAAGTTAAACTGAATTTTTTGTGACAACCTCATTAATCATGTTGCTAATAAAATTAATGCATTTTTTACACACAAATATAGTTTTGTTTTCTCTCTGATTCCACCAGATCACAGAGTTCAGTTGTCAGAACATTCCATGTAGCCTAAGCATACGAAAACTTTGCCTCCGTAAATGAACGACAATCCATTAGTGAAAGGCGAGGTTAATTCGAAAATTCGGTAGTCCCTTTTACTTAATTCCTCAAAGACAACAATTCAGTCGGTTTTTTGAGAGGTCTTGTGCGGCCGACAATGATTGTCAAGTCTGAAGAGAATATAAGAATCCCCAATGTGCCAATACATCAGCTTTCGTTGGAGAGTTTTCTGGAAACGGCGAGAAAGTCGCCAAACAGGAAGGCACTGGTAAGTCGATGAACAAAATTACAATTTCTGCCGTAATTACGCCATATTGCCAAATAATACATAGGTCTTTACTTTGAATAAATCACCGGTCTTCTTAGATTGACGCAACGACCGGGGAAGGCCCGACTTTCAGCGAACTCCACCGTGCCTCCTACTGTTTCTCCGCGTTCTTAAAAACCATCGATTTTGCGGAGCGCGATGTCTGCGCCTTTGTCCTGCGGAATTGCTGGGAATTCTACCCGCTCTTTTTTGGAACTCTTCTGCGTGGTGGTGCTATGACCCCAGTTAGTCCATCGTTCATGGAAGGTAGCTATTATGTTGTATAAACAGCCTCTAATCGTTTTAGACGAGATTGCCAAACAACTGATCGATAGCAACAGCAAGGTTGTCGTTTGCGAGGCAATATCTTTGCCCAGGGTCATTGCGGCGTTGGACGTTTGCAAGACTGTGAAAGTAAGAGCATTTTACAATACTGTTAGTGTAGTGACTTTGCATGAACGATCAATCTACAAATTGCTTTCAGAAAATAATAATTGTCGGTAGCTACTATGGAATAAGAGCCAATAATTTGGTCATGTTCAAGGACATACTCAAACTCACCCCTGACTTTTATGAGAGGCAAAAACGGCCAAACATGGACAAGGATATCTGTTATCTACCATATTCAAGGTACCTATCATGTAGAGAGAGCCTTTATATTGTTTTTCAGTGGCACTACGGGTCCTCCAAAAGGTGTTATGCATTGCCACAAGGCTGTGTTAACAATGACCGAGGTTTTCCGACAGTAAGCTTCCTAGAAAAATCTAAAAATCTCTTTCAGTTATATTGTGAACCAATCGCTACCAAAAATTCAGCGTTTCTGGAACTTTGACAATGAGTATTTTCCTGGTATCTTGCCGTTCTATCACAACTTTGGGTTCATCTCCACGTTGTCTACGATCATTGCCGGTGGAACTGTGGTCTACATAAAAAAGTTTGAACCCGAAGGATTCTTTGAGCTGCTCCAGAACTATAAGGTAATATCAAAGGCTTAGAACTTGACTTGCTCATCAATAATCTTGCTTATATAGAGTGGTTTAGGTGAAATTCTCATTTGTTGTCCCGCCAGTGCTTGTCTTGATGTCCAAGACCCCTTTGCTGGACAAATACGACCTCTCTAGTCTCCGTTTTCTGGTTTCAGGAGCAGCTCCATTAAGTGGTGATGTTATCCTGACGGTGAAGAAGAGATTACCAAACATTGGCGACGTTGCGCAAGGCTTCGGAATGACTGAACTGGCCTGCGCAGCGTTTGTTCCACAGTTCGGCGAAGGAAGCCCCAAATCCAGTGGGAAATTGTTGCCCAATCTGGAAGCAAAGGTGACTTTATATGGCCGGAAATTAATATATGGCGTTTTTCCCTTACATCTTGTTGAAAAATTATCCTTTTTTTGTAGATCGTGGACCCCGAAACCGGTAAACTTCTTGGTCGGAACACGGTCGGTGAGCTTTGCGTTCGCGGTCCAACCCAGTTAATTGGATATCTTGGACGCCCTGAGGCCACAAAAGACATTTTTGACTCTCAAGGATTCGTAAAAACTGGAGATATTGCATATTTTGACGAGCAGAATTTTCTCTATGTAGTTGATCGACGAAAAGAGTTGATCAAGGTGAAGGGGCTTCAGGTTGCTCCAGCCGAACTCGAAGCCCTCTTGTTGACTTGTAAATTGGTGAAAGATGCGGCAGTGATTGGTGTGCCTGATGATAGGCAAGGAGAAGTGCCTAAAGCGTACGTTGTAAGATTCTCGCCGAGTACAACAGAAAATGATATAAAAGAGTTTGTGAAAAGTAAGGATCTTTTTGCATGTAAAAGTATATATGTATTTACAGGGTCTTTCAAGAAACGTGCAGGAAAGTAGGAGGCTATAACTTTCGGCGGAGGCGGCGCAGAGAGCTCGTTTTTGGAGTATGTATTTTTAAGCGACATTATTTTTTGCCTACGAAATAACAAGCTTTTAGAGTGCAAACTGAGGTCGCTACGACCTTCTGAAGTAGAGGCCTCTACCCCGAAAACCAGGTTTTTTCGGTTGAAAATGATCGTGAAATTTCGGTCTTTTTCGGTTGAAAATCACCAAGAAATGTCGGATTTTTTCGGGGGTTTCGATAGAGTTGACGTTGAAAAAAAGGGAAGGATGTTGCCAACACGTTGGAAATTAAGCAAATATTCGGCTAGCCTCAACTTGGGGCAGATTTCGAGTTTTTTTCAGTATCTTCCACGAAGAAGCGTGACATCATTTAGGGATTTGAGGAACCTGGAATCGGCTTGCCAAGGCACCAGAATGGCTGTGAAGTCTTATAAAAGCTAGTCAAAGGTTGAAATGGGCGTCAAAGGGCAGGAATGACAACCAAACTTTTAAACTGCTAGCAAAAACTGGCTAGCCAAAGTGTCAGAATGAAGAGTAGCCGAATATTTGCTTAATTTCCAACGTGTTGGCAACATCCTTCCCTTTTTTTCAACGTCAACTCTATCGAAACCCCCGAAAAAATCCGACATTTCTTGGTGATTTTCAACCGAAAAAGACCGAAATTTCACGATCATTTTCAACCGAAAAAACCTGGTTTTCGGGGTAGAGATGCCTCTACTTCAGAAGGTCGTAGCGACCTCAGTTTGCACTCTAAAAGCTTGTTATTTCGTAGGCAAAAAATAATGTCGCTTAAAAATACATACTCCAAAAACGAGCTCTCTGCGCCGCCTCCGCCGAAAGTTATAGCCTCCTACTTTCCTGCACGTTTCTTGAAAGACCCTGTATATGGATAGTGGTATTCTGTTAAATTTCCATCTCTTTAGGTCGCGTGGCCAAGTACAAGCAGCTGACTGGAGGCGTAGAATTTATTGACGAAATCCCCAAAAGTCCCTCCGGAAAGATTCTGCGCCGGGAATTGAGGGATCTGGAAAGCAAGAAGAAAACAAATTCACTCGCTAAACTTTGATCTTACAGAGAATATATATAAATAATAAATACTTTAAGCTCACATTTTGATGAAACTTTGCGTCAGTTTAGGATTATTTTTTTAAAGATTTTTACGAGACCCCAAGCTCGCGCTTTGTAGAAGAGCCGAGATTTTCAGGTCGAAAGTTGGAAAAATTTGCCACTTTTTTTGTGAATTTTGGCAATTTTTATGCCTATTTCTACCGTAGAGCAATTTTTCCAACAAAAAATCAATTTTTCTTTTAGTACAAGGCCGGAGCAAGAGATGGTTAAAAAGTGTGTTTCTCTGCAACCGAATTTTTCGTACTCTCTCGGCCGCAAAGATCGTTGAATATCCCAGCGGAACCTGCAAAGCCGTAGGTAAAATTTTCAGGAATCAATATGGGGTCAATGCCCTAAGGGTGTGCTAAATTTAAAGAAAATTTTAGTGTGTCGCACTTTAATTATTTTCCTTCTTTCTTATAGTCTGGTTTTAAATTCATAAACTACTATGTATTACTGTATTTTTACCACAAATGTATATGATTTCCTTGAACTATCAACTTCATCAAAAACAAGAACTTCAACTTTTTGTTGCCTCTGAAAAAATTTTAAATTCCTTTTCGCTTTCATTCATTAGCTAATCAGTTGGGTGCGTTGACAACCAACACATTAGCGCCCCAAAAACACTTTTTATGGTCTCCTGACCCCAAATGTGACGGGCTATAGAGCACTGCGTCCATAACAATTAGTTAATCGAAGTCATCAATGTCAATAATTGACCGAGTTCTTGTCCTTGAAAGATGAAAGGCTTGAGTCATCGACGGGTTTTCTGTGTGACGTCGACGAAACGCGATGATTTATTGATGACACAATCGAAATCCAAGCGAAAGGAAAAGCGAAGTGAGACGGATTTTAAAAATCTTAAAGTTGTAAACAGGAAATAAAAATCTTTTCGAAAAAGATTGGGGTGATAACGCAGAAACTATGAATATAATAGTTTGAAGGGAAATTGTTGTTACTATTCGGCACACAAGATTAAAAAACTGAAATCTCCGCGACAGTTGGGAACAGAGATTGCCACGGCTCCGAAGCCGGCTCTTGGCTCCAGCTCCGAGCCGGGAGCCAGAGCCGGAGCCGGAGCCGGAAATTTTGGGTGCGGCTCCGGCTCCCGAGCCCAAAGTCGGAGCCAGGCATCTCAGCATTCAGAAAAGTAAACATTTCAATATCTGGCACTGATAACTTTTATTTTTGGAAAATCATTTTTTTTTTATTTTTTTGAACGGGAGCCGGGATTCGGAGCCGGAGACCTTTTTAATTTTTTATGGGAGCCGGGAACCGGAGCCGGGGCTGCAAATTTGGCCTCGGCTCCGGCTCTGGGAGCTATGAGCCGGAGCCGAAATTTTGACCGTGGCAATCCCTGGTTGGGAATTTCAGAAAAATGCACAGTGCAAATCTGGAGCTATAAAAAGATACCTATTTTTATGTGATTATCAATTTTCTACTGTTTATAGGTATCTATAATAACTGCTTGTCATCAAAATATAGTAGATTCGGCAGGAGCCAACAGTATTTGGTACGCGAATGCGACAAGGTGAGGTATATACTTTGTTGCGACAAATCCACGTTATTTTTACGACAGGCCGATCAAAGGCAACGATGTAATGAATTGTAATGTTCTGGACATTTCGCTTCCCAATATGCGATTTTTTCAAAGGATCCATAGTGTCGAGAGGCCCGGGGAGACAACCACAAGATAAGACAAGAATCTCGAGTTCAAGTGATTTATTGAGTGAAAAGAAAGCGGCCCTTATATAGGGAAGTCCCACGTAGGAAAGTACAATCAAATTTGAATAATAAATGATGATTTCCATGGGAATTCGGGCTCGAAGTTTGGTCGTTCCGCCTCACACATACATAGGTAGCTTCACTGTCTATTGAAAAGCAAGAAAAACTTGCAGATATCTTGTACAAAATTATCAGTAATATTGGATCTACATAGCACAGGACTGTGATGAAGATTGACTCTGATTTGAATATTATTTTCGAAAATGTAAGTATCAAATGTCAGTCAAAAAAATTTTATGCGCAAAACACGAGATCTTTACTTCCTAAAAACCACCGGTTTTTTGACCAAAGCTTAAACAATTGTAGCTTTCTGTTAACGCCGAGTTCAAATTTTTGCTTCAATTTCCGAAATTGCTTGTTTTTTCCGTGGAAGTGCCTAAGATTGCGTTTTCACGCGAAAACAATCATTTTTAGGGCGTAAACCCCCCATGAGAAAGATTTGTCTTGTTAGTGGGATAACCATTAGCTTGCGCTAAATCTTTACAGTGTCTGTAGTCCGGATTTTGATAGCTTGTTCGGAATTCCTTCCGTCTTTTCGCCGACTTCTCTGCATTTTGTTATTGCGAACTTTGACCACGGCATACATTCCAGGAGTTATTTTGGTTGTGTCCTTTCTATTTTTAGTGTTTTCGTTTCTTTTTTTTCGTCACCGTTTCCCAATTCACTGTAAACCTCCTCATCCCCACCCTGCGATTATGAAAAAACTTTATTTTGGAATTCAGCTCTCCGCCGTGGTTGTTTATTACAGCCCGCCGTTGACAAAGTGTCAACCGAAAACAATGGGAAAAACAAAAACAGTTTTAATTATTTTTCGAATTGTCAGCCTAATTGAATACAATCGCTCCCTCGATTGTCAACAATTTGAAATTGCTCTTATTTTTTCGTTTTTTATGAATAGTAAAATTGCTGATTAGATAGGGGTTATCGGCAAAGCCTTCTATTTACAATGAAAAGGGTATTCCTCAGTTTGTTTCGACTGGTCTCACGACGACACGGGGTTAAACTTGAGCAATGTTATGACGAGCCTTTCGGCAATGCACCGTAGGCCTTGCAAATACGGAGAAAAACAAAAAGAAAGTCAGTTCATGCGTCAGACAAGTCAACGAAGATCAAGGTGGTATTTTGGGGAGGGCAAGGGCATGACATACGTATTGATCAGTCTCAAAGTGCCAGAGCAATTTGAAGCAGCAGGAGAGGGCTGCTGTTTGAAGCTGGTCTCGGTATGTCGCAAATTTGAGATGGTGACAATAGCCGTAATCCCTGGTTTGTAACACAAAATCCCAGCCTTTATTTGAAAGTTTATTAGGCCTAAAATTGACTACTCGGACTTCTAAAATTTTCTATTACAGACAGATCTCATTATACCGGACCTTGTTGTACTGTATTCCAAATTACAATAAGGGTAAAATACGGATAGTGACAGGGTGTTAGTTTATGGATAAGTCATGAACTTGCAGTAAAAGCCCTCGATGTTAATGCCTTAAACTTTATTGGAAGACTCAAACTTATAGGAAAGTTGAATAACAGTCTCTTCGGCATGACCTTATATCGTGCATATGACATGTAGAAAGCCTGTCGGATTACAATAAACTATTTTTCTTGAAAAACCATTAAATTGAGGTCTTCAGGGACTGACGATTATTTTAAGATAATGCCTGAGGTGGTACTTTCAATTTTGCTCAAAATATGAGCAAAATTGAATGTCACCGTCTCAAGAATTTTTGTGATTTTAATACATGGATATTTATTTGTTTTTTTAACGAGATTTTACAATTACTTTCCTTCTCGAACTTTTACAGAATCTTTTGTAACTTTACAGCCTGAACTTCCGCTGTTTTTCACGATAAACCCTGCTCCTTTTTAGAGCCTCATTACTCTTGTTCTTGCCACATTTACACTGCTTTTTGTTTGTGGAACATTGTCAAACAATTGTACTTTCGTCTTTCGATTTCCATGACCTTGACGAGTATCTTCTCAAAAAAAAATTGTGAAAGAAACAGATCTCATCAGCGGTAAAAATCGCTGTCGTTGATGTTTTTCTTCTCTCTGCCTTGACCTGATTCGCGGGGAGAAGTGCTGACGTTCGAAAATGGGGAAAAAGCATCCGGAAAATGTAGATAACAAAATGATAAGGAATTGATCATCGAAACTTCGGGATTAATTGGATGACATCTAGTCTATCTTGCTGATTGCGAAATAGCTGATAATTGGGGGGAAAATTATGAAATCTCGGCTTCAAGGGAAGTGTGAGATTTTAAAAAAAAATTAAATGCAACCCTCAGATTTACTAGCTCCAATTTTGCATACTTGCAGACCACAGGGCACACATCAATCAACGCTTGAGCTCGAGGTTTGCAGGCACAACCAAAATATTCAATCATTTTTGTGGACAAAAGAGTCCGTGGAAGGCGGAGTGCGGTCAGAGATAACAACACTTTTTGACCGTATCTTTGTCAGTTTGCATGGAAAAAAATCTTTGTTTTTCCTTTGAGGAAACAGTCCTCTACGGTAGAAGCAAATATGGCCGACCTTTATAAAATTTGACCGTCGCGCTTCTAGTACCTCCCCTATAAGGCGTTCGACTTCACGCAAAGAACATGACGGACCTTGACAGCAAACACTTATATGGAAATTTTTCTAAAGTACATACGAAATATCTAGCTTGCACATTGCATAGAAGACCGACCCTTGTTGGTTCTAAAGTGTCAACCATTGTATAAATTGATACGACGAGAGAGATACAGTGACGGACCAGAGCCAGTGACAAGAAACGTACCATTTTGCATACGGGAAGTATCAAAAATGTAGCAAAATACCTCCATCTCCAACCGAAAAAAACTCCGCTTTGAAGAGCGCGCCCTTAACCTCGCAAACATAGCAGGCGCGCCTTTGAAATCAAAGTTTTTTCACTTGGAGAGTGAGACATTTTGCTACATTTTTTGATACTTCCCGGATGTAAAATTATCCGTTTTTTGCCACTGGATCAGATCCGCCACTGTACAGTAAAAGAAAAACGTATCCACCAAACTTTGTTTATAACATATAGAACCTTTGCTTTTGATGACTTTGTCTGTAAGATTGTGAGGAATTGGTTCTTATTGGTCCAAAAATTCCAAGCAAACCTTATGATGCAGTTCAATTTTTTTTTAATTTCAAATTTTCTAGCCAACAAGA